ATAGTTTTAGTACTACTACGTAAGGGGAGATTCCCCATAGTGTTAGTACTACTACGTAAGGGGAGATTCCCCATAGTGTTAGTACTACTACGTAAGGGGAGATTCCCCATAGTGTTAGTACTACTACGTAAGGAGAGATTCCCCATAGAGTTAGTACTACTACGTAACGGGAGATTTCCCATAGTGTTAGTACTACTACGTAAGGAGAGATTCCCCATGGTGTTAGTACTACTACGTAAGGAGAGATTTCCCATAGTGTTAGTACTACTACGTAACGGGAGATTTCCCATAGTGTTAGTACTACTACGTAAGGAGGTATTATCCATATTGTTATTAATAACGTTTAGTTTGGAAATATTTGGCTCAGATTGTGAAACTATTATTTGTTTAAATTATCTTCCTTTTAAAAAGACTTGGTTTCATTTTCAGTAAGTTTCAGACATCCATTACTGGAGATATTTTCGCCAGGAATTATGTCTTGTCTAATATTAACTATAAAACTTTGAGTAAAGATACTTATAGCCCGTTTAAAGACTTCTCTATTGCTGATATTAATTGTGTTTTGTTACCACGGCCTTACAAATAACAATAAACTTTTCCATATGTATTGTAAACATTTTTTATAATTAAAGTGTAATTTTAGATTTCATAGTAAGATTTATTTCTGTTTCCTTGAATAAATCAAACTTAGCTCTGATTACTTGATTGAATCAGACTTAGCTTTGTTTTCTTGAATGAATCAGACTTAGCCCTATGTTTCCTTGAATGAATCAGACTTAGCCCTATTTTCTTGAATGAATCAGATTTAGCTCTATTTCCTTGATTGAATCAGTGTTAGCTCTGTTTTCTTGATTGAACTAGGTTTAGTTCTGTTTTATTGATTGAATCAGGTGTTAGTCATGTTTTCCTGATTGAATCAGTGTTAGCTCTGTTTTCCTGATTGAATCAGGTTTAGCTCTGTTTTCCTGATTGAATCAGGGTTAGCTTATGTTTTCCTGATTGAATCAGGGTTAGTTATGTTTTATTAGCTCTGTTTTCTTGATTGAACTAGGTTTAGTCATGTTTTCTTGATTGATTCAGTTTTATTACAGTATATAACATCTTATGTTGTCAAGCGTGATCACCAAATCAGTGGTTTGAATAACAATATATGACAATAAAACAAACGATAATAAATTTTAACAAAGGGCCAGAAAAAGATTTCTTAAATATTTTTAGCAGTCTGTGTACTGAATATCTAGCCAGCCAGAGGTTTGGTATGGAGCGAAAAGCTTCGTTGACCGTGGCGAGTAGCACGATATTGTACGATCTAGATACTATTGTGTTCTTCTTGCTTGGTTCCTGTAAAGAGCAAATACCGAAATATCCATTAAAAACTATTTTAAGTCTTATGATGATGTAATATCACATAAACTGTTAATCTGTGAGCCATATTTAGCTGCTAGCGTGAGTGAAAAATCACATTACAAATTTCAGAGACAAGTTTCTGTACTATTTATATCTTCGTGACGTAAATTCAAAAATTTCAGAATTATCAGAATGTAACTATTTCTGCATGGAGAGTTTCATAATTCTTACTAGAAAGGGTACTGTCTAAACATCAAATAATATGTGGAAGTAATACAAAGTTTCTTTTTTTTATGCCTAAATTATTCTTCATTAAATGAGTAGATTCCTTGGAGATATTAACTTCTTGAGAGATACACCTTACTTTTTATAGTGAGCGATCTCTACTCCTGTCCTGGTCTCAAATAGTGCTCAGTACCTTCACTGGTTTAAGATGGTGCTTAGTACTTGTAATGGTCTCAGATGGTTCTCAATACCTTTACTGGTTTAAGATGGTGCTTAGTACCTGTAATGGTCCCAGATGGTTCTCAATACCTTTACTAGTTTAAGATGGTGCTTAGTACCTGTGCTGACCTCAGATGGTTCTTAAGACCTTTACTGGTTTAAGATGGTGCTTAGTACCTGTAATGGTCTCAGATGGTTCTCCATGCCTGATCTGGCCTCAGATGGTTCTCAATACCTTTGCTGGTTTAAGATGGTACTCAGTGTCTGTACTGGCCTCAGATGGTTCTTAAGACCTTTACTGGTTTAAGATGGTGCTTAGTACCTGTAATGGTCTCAGATGGTTCTCAATACCTTTGCTGGTTTAAGATGGTGCTCAGTG